GTTAACAGTGACTTGAAAGTCACCCTAAGCTTATAAATCAGATCAACAATTTCAATTATTTTTATTTGTTTTCAATGTACACTATACAGCTACAGGTAGTAGCACAAAGGAAATAAATTACCATGTCTCCTTCAAGTACAGCTGGGTTTTCAGTCATGCAAAATTTACTAGTTTTGAGAGAATAGCCGCGCCTATCACAAAAATATTCGAACTATAAATATTGCACTAGGCACGCTTACTCACTTCCTCTGAGTAAACTCAAAGGCTCGTGCGGAATTTAAAGACGATATGTAAGACTTCAGCTTACATTACTTTCTCACGCTCAATTACATGTACACACACCTTCAAAAGCAGTCTTAAAAAGGCAATCCATTAGAGTCGATTTTCCGATTCCTGTTTCGCCTGAAAAACAAAGGAAAGATAAAGGAATCTGAACGTTCGTGCAAAAAAAAAACCGAGATAAAATCATACAGACAACTACGGGGCTAATACCACTCTTCCTCACGTACTCGCTTTTGATTTGACAGATGATTGTATCGGCGTTTTTCGCTCTCTCCCCAAAAAAGAAACAAAACAAAGAGAGCAAATTTAAAATGAAGGTTTTAAAGAATAACCTTTTACTCACCTATACAGAGAATATTAAAAGCAAAGCCTCTATTGACTGATTTATTCACGAGCTGGTCGGGTAAGCTGTCAAATCCAACATGGCCTGCGAGTCGAAGTTGCCTCCCATCCGCTCCCTAAAGACAGAAGAATTCAAGGTAAACAAAAAGCATTTCGGACGTAAAAGAGACTTTGAGCACTTACAAGTGTTCTACAGTAATCTGTTACTGCTGAGGCCATTTCAATCGCTCAACAAGTGAATAAAGCGAACGGTTTACAACTACAGCTGCTGATTAATCCTTCTTCAGTTCTTGACATGAATGAAGAGGATAAACAGAAGAATGAAAAACAACGCTGTTGGTCAGCGGTTTTTCTTAGCACCCAGTCTTTCGCCGTCGTTCTCTGTTCGACTCGAATCGAAAGAGAAGTTGTGATGAGAAGCGATGTTTATGAGGGCGTTTCATGAAAATAATCCTCTAAATATTCCGATCTTTCACCACAATGTTCTCCTCCTTAGCAAGCAAAACTTCTTTATTTCGCGCTACACTTGTTGGAGTTAGCGGAGTGGGATGTTGTTTGATATGGAAATCAACTAGGCAAAACAATAACTGCTCTGTCGGTTTTGTTCATGCTAAATCCGCGGACCATGGTCATCAAACTCGGCGAAAGACAAGATTCGATCAGTTTGCGAGCATTGAGGTGGATGGGCAGTACCTGATGTCGCCATCTGACTTTCTTGAATCTGTCATGCACAGAGATTCACCAGGTGATTGACTGACAGTTGGACACATACCCATTTTACCCAGTTCATGGCACCTAATTTACATTAAGAGGGGGGCGTAAGGGGGATACGAATATCGCAAAACTGCACAGATATACGTATAAACATTGCACTGAATAACATAAGAAAAAAACGCAAACCACATTGAAATTACTCGAAAATTTCTAAGTACTACAAATTGCCTAGTTCTGTAAAACTGCAATACCACAACTTAAAATAAAAATTTCCTCAAATCCGCACCAAAAATCGGGAAAAACCACATCACTGCAAACCCTTATGTCCCCCTCCATTAACAAATTACGTGTATAATTGGTAAAAAAAGCCTCTTTCTGCCTCAGAGACCACTCAGAGCTTGGGGAGATAATGTACCAGTCAATTCCAGACTGCCCATCCCTTTCTGAGACTTAAGATATTACAGTTGGGTTTAATACAATTGTAGGATAGATACAGTAGTTACATTTATGTTGAATAAACGGTTTGATGAATGGGAAAATCTTTGAATAGATGCTGGTGGGTGGGGGACTTGACACTAAGGGCTAGCTGGTGGGGCATTTGACCATACAAACTGCCAACATACCTGGGGAATTTTTCAAAAAATTCAAATGCCCAGGGGTTGCCTGGGCTTAGGGGTTGGCGGGCATGGGCAATTTTGGAATTTTTTGGTGCATAAGACAAGAAAGCATAATAATTGGAGCAATGAGGTGGGATAAAAGAAGCCTTTCAGTGGTGATGACAGGTGAAAATGGTATCCACTTTTTTCGCCAGAAAGCCACTTTGGTCAAAGTAGTTTTGCTTGGAATAAGGTTGATTTGCCCGACATGCAATTGTTGTTCTTTAAGCCTAAAAAAATGGAATAAGTATGAAAAGACAGTGATTGCACAGCAGTGCGAGTTACAACCTTTTCCATTGAAATTGTACCAGAAAATAAAAACTATCTCAACTGTTGACATAACGTTTTCTGAGGTAAACTTCAGATCTCTCTTAAAGATGGTTTCTATATGCAGATCATTGCAATTGCTAAGATCATTCAGATAGATGAAACTTATACCAACTACCATGTCTATTTTGTGTTAGGATGGAGCCGCAAAAGACCATTATCAAAGACTGTAAGTGTGTAAAAGTATGCTCATATATATGATTTATAAAACAGTAGTAATATTGTCTGCTGTATTAAATATGCATACTGGTAATTTGTTCTCTTATGGATGTTGCCTGGGTTAATTTATTTTAACCATACCATGACCACCATAATCCATTCCTCTGAGAATTAGAGGAAAGTAAAATACGCTTATACTGTGAAACTCTCTTAATGCAAGGTGGTTGCATTTATGAGATTATCAGACAAGAATTAGTGATGGATTGTTTATTGTATTTGGGTCAAAGAATATAATCTTAATGTAACAAGACACTATCGGAGTGTACACCTGGGCGTTGTTTTTACATGCTTATGTGAGGATTTTTTGGTGTGCTGTAGTGTTGTTAATAATGGGTTAGTTGAAATGGGTTAAAAAGGAGAGGAGGAGTCATAGTGGGCATTGCTTGGCATGAAAATAGCTCAAATTTTTCCTTGGAATTCCTAACACCAACTGGCTCAGGGAATAGCAAAAACAACGAATACTAAGAAAATAATGTTATGGACTGGGAGCAAGCTCTCCTTTTTTGTGTGGCAAGCGAACGCGTGAGTGAGCGACGAAGCCTTGTGGGGTGGAGGAAAAAAGAGCTCTCCCTTTCTTTCCCCGCACCTTGCTCTCGCGTGCCACTCTTGCGTAACTTCTTTTATTATCCCTTTAATGGAGAGCTTGCTTGCAGGCTAGAAATGTTACTATTTTCATTCTTGTGAGAAGTGGTTGAATCGTCATCGTAATGGCTCATTCAATTCCAAGTGTGTCTGTCCTCCCAAAGGCATTAGTCAAAGGCATTAGACTGTGGGGGTTTTACTACATGTAAAAGTAGGCTGCGGCCCAAGGGCTCATGGCCTGTTGCTGACAGCCCATGGCCCAGCCTTCAACCCATATTTCATAGCAGCTCTCCTCAAGATCAGGCAGCCAGGCTGATGCGGTTAGTGGGCCACTGGCCAGTAGCAAAACCCAAGTGCGTTGTATTGGGGCTGCTACCTCTGTCATGTTAGTTTGCATTTTTTGGGGGATCTACCCTTTTCCTACCATCCCTGTCATGTTGGTTTGAACCTCAGTTTTTTCTCCAAAGGGTCTACCCCTTTTCTTCTTGGGTGACTAGAAAATCCCATTTGTGTTCATAAGAGATGGGTTTTACGGGTTGAACTTCAATTTTCCTTAGAGCACAGCCTTGCATTTTTTTGACAGTTAAGATACAAACCTAGTTACATGTAAGTATTTAAATGTGGATGTAAAATAAAGGGTGGCTTCTTGATTGTGGTCATGTCTTGAGGTTTGAAGAAAATTAGTTGGCTTGTAAAATATTCTAGTGAATTGTTAAGCAGTCTGTGGTAAATTTACATGTACAGTACATGTACAGTACATGTACAGTAAAATAAAAATGTTGTTTGCTCTCTCTCTTAACAGGTTATCTCCCAGATGGTAAAATGTACTCCTTCAATATCCAAAGGATCTAGAAAGTTTTTCAGGACTTTACAAGAAAATGGTAATTTAGGCAGATACATACTAACAGCCTTTAATTCTACAATTTTAAAACTATTTAAGATATTCATTTGAAAACGTAAAATGCAATTTTTGCTAATTATGTAGTGAATGGCTCAGCAGAAAATACCATTTATGAGCTCTAATGGTTCAATAATTGTAAAATTCTATGAAATCTATTACACTTGTCTTGTCCATTGATAAAAAAGTAAAAATTCCCCGTTAAGTACGCTCTATGTTGAAACATGATTATTATAAGTAACTGAGTTGTTATTATTTTATTTATTTTTGGTTTTTGGGCCAGCAGGCGTAAAAATAGTATTAAAGTAATTTAGTACTGGATACTTGCAGAATTCCATCAATTGCATGATTTAACAAGTCTAGTCTTATTTGATAAATAGATATTTTGTTTCCATCAATTGTCTCAAAAATGATTTAACAAGTCTAGTCTTATTTGATAAATAGATATTTTGTTGACCATGGGTGAAGAACTGGGCCCTGAAAAGTGTCAGCTTAGAAATGTGAAAGTTGGGCGTTAGAGCATTTTAGAGAAAAAAAAAGAAAATGTCATAAGAATCACTCAAGATGACCTTTCTTCCCTGAAAAGGGTGAGGGGCTTATGAGGGGGGGCTTATTTGAGAGGTGGGGTTAGGACTTGAAAATGGCCTTCATACTTAACCCTTTGGATCCACTTTCACATTTTTATAGAAGAATTCACAGAAATTATTTTAGGTACTAGTAATCAGTAATTTTAATTTATTCTCATAACTTTTTCTCTTGAGTACATACAATGTATTGATAACATTAGGAGAAAATTCATGTTGGTCACTCCTCGGGAGTTAAAGGTTTAAGGGAGGCTAAAATACAGTGTTTATATGTTGCCAGGACTGCGACTAAGGAGGGGTCCCTTAGAATTCATTAGCTGGATTTAATCGTAACATTCCCTCAAAGGATAATACTCTCCACATACATTTAATTCAAGATGCCAACCCCTCAATGAATAACATTGTGGCAGTTGACAAAGTTCACAGTTTACTTTAGCTACATGTATTGTATTTTCATAACAATTATTCAAGTGTATTTATGCAATGTGAATTCGTTTTTCTTTTTTTTCAGGTATCATCACTTTCTCTGAATATCTGTTCCTTTTGACTATTCTTATGAGTAAGTTGGATTGGAATTATGTCCAGTCCCCTATGTAATTTTCTTTGACATTGTTATGGTCCATCACTGAGTTTAATAGGACAATTGCACGATGACGTCATTTTACTACAACTACCAGAATCCCTGAGTTTGTTGTTTTCTTTTGCGGGATTGGCAAATTTAAATAACAAAGCAAAGCCGAAATGAATTCTGGTAGTTGTAGTCAAATATCGTCATTGTGCAATTGTCCTATTGGCTGCTTTTGGATCTCTATGGTGGGCCAAAACTGGGAAGAATACTAAAGGACAGGGGTAGGGAGGGGAAGTGATTGCTGCCTTCTGTCACCCCCAGCACCTATACCTAAAGGCAATTAATTTTTGTACTTTTTGGTGACCTTCCTCGACTGTTGCTTAGAAAAAATGGGATTGTAAACTGTGTAAGTTGGATTTGAATAGCTAAGCCTTAGACACCATTTACAAATTGTCTCAAAAAATTCTTCTTTTATTTGTCTTTACTTGAAGAATCCCAAAGAGGTTTGGAAATTGCTTTCAAGATGTTGGACAAAGATGGAAATGGTCGACTTTCCAAGAGTGAATTTTTTGTGGTAAGTGAGATTTTCATAACATTTCATTCTTTCTTCCAGCTTTTTCACTTTATTATTTCCATCTAATAAAATAAGTAACACTTTTTTCCTTCCTTTACAGCTTGCAGATATGGTCAATAAAAAGTCCTCTGCAAAATCAATGGTGAGAAAGATCAGAATGGAAACTGAGTTTATTTTGAGAAGGGTGACTGTTTTTTTAGTGCATGCAAAGCTAGGGCGTTTTCACCCCATTTTTTTGTCTAGACGATTTTTCGAAAGGTAAAACCGTATAGTGCGCTAAAGTGAGGGTTTTGTGCTCTTTAACTGTAGTAGCGTACGATAGCCCCTACACTCTTTACCCCAATAATGCCCTTCCATCTGCAGAGAAGCGAAGGGGTCGCGATCGACCTTAGACGCATGAGAATCAGGCTATGATTTTTCTGGCTTCACATACGTACACCCTGTAATTATTGCTTTTGCCTTTGCTGTTTAATTCATGTTTCCCAGTGCTTACATTAATCCCTGATGCGATGTTCAAGTCCTCTGCGACAGTACTTCGTATGTATGTTGTCTCATTATACCGGATCGATTTTTGTGACAACACAGGAATCGATCCGCCGTAACGGTGTAAGATATAGGGTCTATCACTTTCAGGAGTATCGTGCGCATCGCAGCAGCTTATGGCGTTCCGTTGCGGACAAAATTATACCGATAGTAAAAACATGTTGAAAACATAATACTTAAGTCGAAACTTGGAAAATACATCGAATGCAATAAAAAATATGAGTCGAGGTTTGCAAAATATATGTTCACGAACGAAAAAAAACACGAGTCGAAATTTTGCAATTTGAGTCGAAAAAAATGCGAGTCGAGTTGAAAAAAAAAAATACTCGAGTCGAGAAACAGAGAACGCTGACCAGTTGTGTTGTCTATCGATGTCTTAACTTCACCGATACGAGGCTTCGATCCAAAGTGGTGGTTTGTTGTCTACCAAATATTGCAGATTTTTTCTTCTCCCTTGGTGGACTTATCGACGACTTAGAGGGCAGCTTAGTTCAGCTTCATTAAAATGACAGTTCAGAATTCTTATTTTGGCGCCTTGACGAGTCAAAAGGACACTTGCAACTGTACTCTGTCGTCAAGATATTGTGAGTGAGACTTAACGGTTGTTTAGAAATAGGGAAGTTCACCCTTTATACGTTAAATCGGACTGGAACCTACCGGTTCAACCATAAGAAGCCCTTGAGAGAGGTTAAGTCACAACTGGCAGAGATACAAACAACAAAGCCAAAACATAACCTGTCACGCCAGGACCGACAAGCGTTAAAAAGAATTAAAGCAAAACACTGACGCGCGACATCGACATCAAGCGGACAAGGGAATCACTACAGTAGACACGAACAAAACTGACAAAATAAGAGAAGGTCAAATACAAATCGACGACGAACATAACTACAAATCTCTCGTTGAACCAATGTTGAAAGAAACGCACAGCAAGGTCAAGCGCCTAATTAAGTACGGATCTACACCGTGAAAAACATCTGAAAACATAATGATGAAATGACGAGAAAATGGCAAATGTCAAACACCCAATCGACCTAGAATACCTGAGTTCTACACTCTAACAAAAATTTACAAACCAACCATAACAGTAAGACCAATAATCTTCGGGTGTGATTGTGCAAGAGAAAGGGGGTAACATTCGTACATCTATACCGGAGTGAGACCGTGTGTTAACAAAAGAGGAAATTCCCTTGATTCCTTTGTCCGCTTGGGCACGGTAACTCGAATTCTGAAGTTAAGGAAAAACAGTTCGAGTAAGCGGGGTTCGAGTTATTGCTTCAGTGTATACTGTCTGACAGTGCGATTTCAGTTTACCAATTTCATCAGAAACGGTAACATGATTACGCCTTTTTATTAAAAAAAAGTGATCTGTTCGTTGCAACAATTAATATTAAATTGCTGTAGTGTTGGTTTTAGTGTTTTTTATTGATTCTACAGCAAGAGGAAGCCAAGAGGAACTAATGAAATGACATCCGAGTGAAATTACAAGAACCTGAATTCCGCGCGAAACGGCCCCAGCGGCGAAGAGCGAGGAGAAACGGATGTTTTCGCAGGCTTAACTCGTATCGGTGAAGTGAAGACATCGATAGACAACACAACTGGTCAGCGTTCTCTCTTTCTCGACTCCAATTTTTTTTTTCAACTCGACTTGCGCTTTATTTTTCGACTCAAATTTCAAAATTTCGACTCGTGTTTTTTTTTTCGTTCGTGAACATATATTTTGCAAATCTCGACTCATATTTTTTATTGCATTCGATTTATTTTACAAGTTTCGACTTAAGTATTATGTTTTCAACATGTTTTTACTATCGGTATAATTTTGTCCGAAACGGAACGCCATAGCAGCTCTCCGGAAAAAATTTCTTGCCTTCAGTGCTAGTAGCGCGTTTCGGCAGCCTCGTTCCCAGTCGGCCTATGCAAGTTTGGACGTGACGTCACTCGCATGCACTTATATAATTGAGAGATTGCTGTTTTCAGGAGCATGCCGAATTTTTTAATCATTCTTTCAGGCTTTGCGTGAAAGTGGCAAGGATGAAGATGATTTCTTAACCAAGACAACGCTTACAATGCACTTTTTTGGCTCCAGAGGAACTGGGACAATTACTTTCAAGCAGTTCATGAAGTATGTGATTGATCTAGAAGTTTAGCAGATTTTAGGAATCCGCTTTTTGATCTTCTCAGAAGGTCACTCCTTGAATTGCGTGATGCTTCGAGCATTCGAACGTTTCGTAGGTTAAAAATACCTTCAGTTTTGGGGTAGGTGGGGTGGCCCCCTCGGTCTCCCCCCTAAATCCGCTCTTGATTAAGGTTTTTCAGGTTTGTTGTTAAGAGCATTCCTACAAAAGTTTGAAAAACAAAAAGGATGTTAGCGGAGTTTGACTTTGATCTGGTTGACGTTTCTTGCTCCAATAGAAAGTAATTTATTCTATTCCACAGGTTCATGCAAGATCTTCAATTAGAAGTCTTCGAAATGGAAATATCCTTTTTTTAGTAATACGTGCACAAGTCTGTCGTGTTCCCAAGTCGGTTCCGCCCCACTAACACGTTTAGTCTGCACTGGAGGCTAGAAATCGTTTGATTTTGATGTTATTTTAGTGCGGCGAAAAAGCCGCAACTCCTTTCCGTTGACGGAGCCTCTGAAATGTGTCTTTGCCAAAAAAATTCCCCCTCGTTTCTCCCTGGAATAGAACATCAATGGCCGAAAGGACGAGCGCTTGGAAAACAAAAACAACAAGAGTGTTACTTGTGGTGTGCATCGTGAAGCACACGCCTTACTTTTGCATCAAATCGCCTCTGTTAGTACCTCCTGTACCCTCCAAGCCCTAGTTCTTCATTTCTTGTGGCATGCGAAGTGTTAAGCGAGAGAGAACTTGCCTCTTGTTTTCGCGTCCCCTTTCGCGTGCCGCACACGCCTGACCTCTCTTGAGATCTCCTGAATGGTAGAGCTTGTTTGCAGGTTATTATTCCCCTGAAAATACATGGCCCGCTGTCCATTTTGTAGTCAATCGAAAGATCGAGCTGTCACGGCGAAGCTCATTCGGGCGCTCGTTATATGCTGGTGCGCACAGCTGTCTGTCCTTAAAATTTCCCTGCTTTCCTGTTTTTAATAAATAATAAATAATAATGTGTCTATTGTTCATCAGATAAGAATATATATCTAATGTAATCGGGAAAAGGAGTGAAAAGTTCAGTTGAATGCAATAGAACAAAGAAGTATAAAAATATTGAAAATGGTTAAAAAATATACATATCTCTAAATATAGAATCATCATAAAAGGTCGTATTTGGAAACTAATCTATTTACGAACGTATTCTTAAAACGTTCGGTATTTATCTTGTGCCTATGGCAGCCTTTGTGTCTTGGGTTAATCGATCTTCTCTCTTGGAAAGCAGACCTTCAGGTGTTGGTTATCACACCGTTTAACTTTTCTCAAAATCTCTTTATCCTGTTTGTGCAGTAAACACCTAATGTTCAGCGGCGCAGATATAAAACGTAACTTATGGCATCTGTCTAAATCTTGTTGGAAAACGTTAAGTTCCGTGTCGGAGGCACCATGAACCTGATAACCCATAAGTTAAGTTAGGGAGTACGCGCGATGCGCGGTGGTAGTGGTCGCTCGCTAAAATTTCAGGTCTGTAGCGTTGTTTCACTCGTTCAATTGGCGCTTTAACCTGTACTCGGTCATCTTTCTCAGTGCTACCGGCAACACAGTGCGCTCTACTTTTAAAAGGCTTACATGAAGGGCAAAGTCTGTACTTAAAATCCTTAACTTTGCTCTACTTTATGGAGTATTCAAGAGGAATGCCTACCATACCCGAAGACAGCTTTGCTCGTTTATTACTCAGAAACACTTCTTTAGAGGAGGAGCAAGTACAGAAATACTTGAATAGACTCTGCAAGAGGCTCAAACAGAGAAAGGTGAGAAAGTGATATTTAGATCCACTCTAGTGATATTTAGATCCACATATCTAATTTGTCAAGATTGATCATGGTCTTCTTTGTTATTTTACTGTTGCATGGAATTTGTTGCAAACATACTGTCGCAAAATACATCTATAGCTTTCATGGTAAAATTGAATGTTGTTCTTTTTTCATTTGCACCAAAAAATAACGTTTGTTCGTTGCTATATGTTGCATAGATGTAAAACTTCTGTATTCTGTTAACCTCAGTAAGAATCGATAAATTTATATTTTTTAACACAGGGCATTACTCTGGAGCAGTTTTTAAATTTCGGAATGTTTTTAAACAATTTGGAAGATTTCGCTCTGGCCATGAGGATATATTCAATCGCAGGGCAGGCAGTAACGCAAGGTAGGGCATGTCACATAACACAGCAATTTTTAGTTTAGTGTCTATTGTAATTTCGCAGTTGCTTTGCTTTTCAGCTTGCTCAGTACTCTCTGCAACTAACTGACAAATAACGGGCCATTTTCTTAGCCAAGCAAAAGTTCAAATTAAACCAATCATGACTTGGTCACCTGGCGTTTTCTCGCGCTAGGTAACCACTACGTGTGACGTAATTGGTTTATTTGATTTTTATTGGCCAAAGTAATAGAAGAGAGAAGTGTGACGTCATGTTACCATGGTAGCGAAATTATTGGATCACAGCAATAGGGAGCTTATAAGCAACGACGACGGCGACGGCAACGAGAACGGCAAAAAAGAAATAGGTTTAGAATAGAAAAATAACAACTTTGCACGTGCGTCATGCTTTTTTGTACATTTCGGAGCCATCATAGCACGACTACGACGTGACACTTCCTAATTTCCCGCGTCGGCCTTATAAACTAGGTGAACACAACACAATTTTTTTTTCTTTTTCTAAACTTACATACAGTCCTTTCGGATTTAACCCCAGAAAATTTAGCCAACATTTGACAAATTAATTGAAACTGAACGAGATCGATGAAGGAGTCTGAAACAGGTTTACGTGACTTTGTTATCATCCAGAAATTTTGCTACCATGGCAACGTGACGTAACGACTTGTCCTCTCTATTACTTCCTTTCCTTTTCACGGCACTCATTGGACTTCCATTTTTTTTTATCCGAAGCTAAATCGAACGCTGATGTAATGAGCATTGTTCTTGTGGTTACAGCTGTTCTCGTTTTTAGTTAGAGGCCTTTTAGATCCGAGGTCGACCGGCAAGGACGTGATTTGACTTAAAGGTTTTTTGCTGTATTCTAAAAAAAAACCAGACAGCCTGGAAAGCTTGATTTAACCTTATTCTGGCTCTTGGTGATTCCGACAACGTTGCAGAATGAAAATGCAATTGTCCCGATTGCAGGTGCTGATACACAAGATGAATAATAATTTACATAGATAATAAAATAAACTCAACGAAGACTTAAACGGCGTAGAAATATGTATAAGTATAATATCAATTTCCCAATTTTGGCACCACAAGTTTTCCGAAATGTTGTTCCTGTTAAACTTTTTAACATCAGCGGATTCGCTCTCACTGACGAAGGCTGGCGATCGAAATCTAAGTTGCTTGTAAATTTTCAGTTATGGCGGTCAGTCTACCTTTTCACTTCAGCTGATAAAACTAACAGTAACAGTTTGTGTTTTACTCAATCTTCTTCAGCGTTTTCGTAGTCAGCCGGCTCTTCTATGTAATCAGTTAACTTTGGCGTTTATACTAATCAGTGCTACTTCTTTAGTTTAGTTAGACTTTGCATATAAGTTAATCCCAGTGATTACTAGTTTGGAGTTTATAATTACTATGTATTGTTGAACAATGCATCGCTGCTGTCTTTACATTCGATCTTCTTCGACCACTGGCAAAACATTCAGGTCAAAATGTTATGTGTGTAAACAATGTAAACAGAATGTTGTTTATTTATGAATCGTTTGTCTTCAAAAGATTTTTTTTCGGCTTGACTCGACATTTGCCTTAAAACTTTCAGTTTGAAAAAAGTTTATTTATCATGTTTGTTTCATATAATTGTTGACAAGACCGTGGAAAACCTAACAATCACTGTAGTGCTACATTTCCTATATATAGTCTTTTTAATTTGTCTTAAGTAACCTGCATAAACGACTTACGCCGCCAGTATTATCCTTGAAATTGCCTATACCGTGGCGACAGTTTGCAGATTAATACTTTCATTAGAGATCTCATTAACTATATAATTTGCTAAATGGTCGGTGTTTCTATGAAGGTTACTTAGAAGCAAAAATATAACATTAACTAGTGATCTATATCTGTACAAAATTTTTAGAAGTTTCGTGTTAAAATGTTTTCTTTAAGACTTTATAGTATCTCCTTTTATTCTTGGATTCCGTTTCCTCTGCCCGCTCATCGGACATTAGCATAAAAACCACGAAACGAAGGTGTTTACAGAGCAATCAAAGAACCGATGAAAAATATCATGCAGATGATTGATCCATGTAGTCGATTCAAAGTAGTAAAAAACTCTTTAAGGCTTGTTTTTTGCATCAACCTACGGATTCGCTCTGCTGAAGATCTTAGCTGGAAATATCAGCTCTTGCCGTGGATCCCGCTGCGTTGGCGAAAGCCACTCTAGCAGTTGACTCTACGCCTTTTTATGTTGGTTTCGCACAATGTTTGCAGTTTATTGAAATATTTTCGTTGTTTTATTTACATTTTAAACGAGTCCAGTTTGGAATATATTCCCTTCAGAGTTGTGTAATGTCCAAAGCAACCCGCTTTCTCTTAACTCCCTAACGCAATAAAACTTTATTGAACGACCCTCGCATGTAAGCGGACACAGTTCCCGTAACTTTCACATATTTATTTCCACACTGAGTTTCTGCTAAATGACCGGAGCGTATTTTGTTAACGGACACCTGGCACCTGAATTTGGCGATGGTGCCTTGGCTGTCGGATTAAGCTTACTTAATTTATGTTTCCTCGTACTACCAGCTAAGCAATAAGTGGGAAGGGGGAAGGTTTACCGTTTTTGCTTGTGTAAAGAACAGCTTCGAACTCCGAAAGACTCTCGTAGGATTCGATCTTTGTCTAGCTACAAAAAGAAACCTTTCACGACAAAAAATTGCGTTGGATTTGAATAGGATTCTGTTTACTGAAACAAACTTGAACTTGATTAATTATTAACTAAATTTCCCTTCATAAATCATACATCACTCATGCTATGTTTAGATCGTTTGACGCTTGGTTTTGTTCATCTAAAATGTCCACAAATCTTTGAAATACGCTGGCGGCTATCGACTATCAACATTGCAAAACCTTATAGCTATGTTTTTAATTTAATTTCCTTGTCTGATTAGGTAACCGCATAAATTATTGAAGTCTTTATCGCGCTCTCCAAACTTTTCCTGGTAGAAATGTCGAAATTTAATGGTGGAAAATTTTCGCCTTTCGTGCAAGGATTAGTGTTTGCATTAACTAATTTTTTTTATCTATATCCGTATTCAATGTACATTATTGATGGAATACAATATATAAGAATTTCCTCTTATTTGGTTATTTGAAGGGCGTAAGTAATAGGTGACATTTTAGAGATTAACATGTAGCGTAAAATTTTCGCGGCAGGTTCATTTTCGGGGATTATCCATCCTGTGTTTCTAGCAGTTCTAATATATGGAGCGCGGCAATGGATTCTTTATTCGCTGAGAAGGAGTAAATTTTTCACGGAAGGAATTTTGTTTTTACGAAAGTTTTTCCCACATCGTTGGAAAATTCGCACGCAGTTCATGCCACGAGCTGACATGCTTAACCATAGCTGATCTTATGTAATACGATATGTGCATACAGAGTAAATTATAAAGCGGTTGTTCACTCGCTGTGTTTATGTATACTAGCTTTTGTCCTTGTCGCGTATCAGTGAAGTTTCTTATCAATTGAAAACTTTTTAACGGTCGAGTTATCTGCTTTCAAATCTTAATATTTGTTGAACTCGAGGACTTTTTAATCAGTGCTGACAGTCGAACAATACTTTCGTTCCGTGTTCAAGATATGGAATATTAGGGTGAATAAATCCCCGAGTCGGATGTAAGAAGTCATGTTACTCCAGTTCGCTAGCTCACTGGTGTAATAAAGTTAAACTGGGACAGTTAATTTTCATATGTTCATAACATCTCGGGAACAAGTGAAATCCAACTCGTTTATATGTTTTTGTTGTCATCTGGTGCATTATTTTGCCACGGCCACGGATTGAAGTAAAAACAATTGCGAAGGCTCTGCTGTTTGCGAAGGCTCTACTTTGTTGGTTTTCCTCCAGAACGCTAAGACTCGCAGAAACTCTGCTCTGAACGCTCTGTTCATAACACCATATATGACAGGGTTGATAGAACAACTGCCAAATCCAAGGTAAATATATAACATAAAGACCTGTCTTGGGATTCCCAGCTGGTGTTGTGTGATAGAGTCAACCATATCAATGGTAGCGATAGGTCCCCAACAAAGGCTAAATCCTAAAACGGATGCGCAAAGCGCCTTAGTCACTCTCACTTCCTCCACGTTAATGCACAGACCGGTTCCGACTTGTCTTTTTGTGTTCATCTCACGGTTGTGTTCTTTGATTGCTTTAAAAATCTTGTAATACGAAAATGTGATTATTCCGATAGGAATGCTGATGTAGAACACATCCAAAAAGGCCATATAGCCCATATCGATCTGCGGTGTTTTAAAGTCCATGAAACAGATAACTTTTCCGTAATGAACAATAAATGTAGCCCATTGAGCCATCGATGAGAGTCCTGCGCCCAAACCAGCCACTAGCGTTATAACAACGATCGAAAACGCAGTCGACTTCCTCTTGAAGTGACGTCTATAAAGATGGGGTCTTACCACGCGAAAGTATCGGTTAACTGCTGTTGCAGTCATAAGAAGCAATGAGTAAAGCGCGAAGAAAAAACAAAAGAAACCTTGAAAATGGCACACAGCACCACTAAACGGCCACTCGCCTGTTATAAGCAGAACTGTCGACATCGGCATGCACAGTGCGGCCATAAGAGCGTCAGATATGGCCAGGGTTACAACATACATGTTTGGAATTGTACGAAGCCTTTGGTTTCGGTACACGGCCCAACACACCATCAAGTTACCAGTGAAAGCCAGAACGTTTATGACAATCATCAAACCACTCTCCACAATAAGTAAATTTTTAGGGCGATTTAGAAGCTCTGGTGAAAGTGCTTCTTGTCCTTTCGCTGCCATTTTGGACGAAAAAAAAAATAGATGACTTCGTGAATGTGAAACCTAGAGAGACATTCGTTCTTTGCTAGATGCTCGCCGCATTCTGTCCAGCTGACGAACGCATCGACTTCTTTTCTTTTCTTTTCCTTTTAGTTTAAAACTGACAGCTCGCACCTGTGATATGGTTAATCATTCGGCTGACCTTCTCGTTATTCATTTTTGAAATAGGTGTGAAATCCGCATCTTAGAAACCATGGGCAACGTATCTGGGTTTGTCTTTCGGGGACGACAATTGTGCATTTCTAATTTTAAAATCGGCAGGTGCGTACTTCATTTTAATGGTTAATCGCTTGAAGGACAAACTATTGCTTGTTGCTGATTTGTCATCATACATTCAATTGTGTTATGTTAGTTTTTTATTAGTTGGAGTGAGTTTCTTTGCTGCTTCGTAAACAGATCAGTTATTTGGAAAGAGGGAACTCGCAATACTCGTGATTAGCATTAATGCTGCGCAAAAATTTTTTCGATCTGTTTACACTTCTCATAGAAACAAGTATTTTCATCTTGAAAGGTGTCGGCCTTTGGTGGACTCTAAATTGGAAACAAAATGAAAATTCAAAATAGGCCTTCACTGAAGAGGACCATTATATTTAATCTCTCTCGAAAACGAATTAGCTGCTTAATGAAATTCAAAGTAATCAGGCTTCTTTGAAAGTAATTTGTTCTTGCTAAAGAAACCCTAGAAAATGTTATGAAATCACTGACTCTTGTTAAGGAAGTGACGTTTTATGGGCCTACATTTTTTCTTTCATCGTGCTTATAGCAAGAGAGGTAGATTTCTCTTAATCGGCCATCTGCCCGCTTTAGAGAAGGTATTTTGTAATTTGCTGAAGTTTTTCTTTTTGTTTGTATATTTGTTTTAATCAAGTATATTTTATCGAACAGCGCAATTTTATCTTTTTAGTAAGCGGATACTGTAGCTTCCCTGTAGAGCTTGTAGTGAGATCTTATAACGCAGGATAGAAAATGTGGTCAAATGACGGAAATTTTTTTATTTAGAATTTTAAACCTAATCATAGGTAAAAAAATTCTCCAATCTGATTGGCTAATGATAGCCCTGATTTGAGCATTAATAACACGGTGTAATAGAACAGTATGCGCCATCGCACGCGCCCCAGTTGCAGTTAATGGTTATTTTTCTAAATTTCTAGTAAAAAGTTCTCGTGCGTTCTTAATTGAGTTTTTTAAACAAAAAATGAAATTATCAAGAATTACTTTCCCCAATTTTTTGTTTCAGTAAGCTAAATTGGTGACCGAACGTCGTGTCGTCCAATTCTGTCTGCAATCATACTCGGATTAAACAGATCGGACAGCCGCTACGTGGTCGCCCGCTTTTGTTTAGTCGTTCCTATGATTACAGACTTCAATCGAAGGCTAACTTAGACCGCTTACCATTTTTCAGAACTGGCTGGACCAGTCCAGTCATAAGGAGAATTCCACTACAGGGGAAGCTTTCGTGAGCGGACACCCTCGGTGCGCGAAAAAGGTGTCCGTTACTAGAGCTGGCTGCTAACGAGAATGGTTCTGATAAATAGGCACTAAAGATGTGAGGCCGGACTAAATGACCGCTGACGGGAGTTTGCCCAACGACAAATAAACATTGTAAATGCCAAAAACTGTCCGTTATTGTTTGGCTATTCTGTTGTTCTGAAAATGTTGTAGTTCAGTCACAAGCATAAAATTCACGTGGTGTTTTGAAGTGAAACCGGACGTGTATGTGAAAAGAAACAAACAAACAAACACTGAAACTGATATAAATTCATTGTGGCGAACAGCGATATGAAGTTGATATATTAAAATACAAGATTCAGAGGCGAATGAGATTTGCGGGAGCTTAAAAACAAAGCTAAAATGTAACTCGTAAACCAACTACCAACCAACTCGTAAACTCGTAAACCGTCCGCGGCCGCCCGCGGGAATTGTCCTCTTTGGGGAATGTAAAAATACAGAATTTATATGGGAGTTGAAACGTGGTTTGGTGAAAGTGGCGTAAGAAGAGCTGTCCGCTTACGTGAGTGTCCGTTAAAATAGCTTCCACTGTATTAATTTTTATTCCTAATTAGTATCCAAGATCTGATTGGTTTTAGTAAACATTTCGAGAAAAGAGTAATATTTTATTTTGATTTTCGGCAAATTAACTGGTCTGGCCGGCTAGTACTGACTTTTGGAAAACGCCCTTAGATTGAGGTTAACGAAGTCTAACCTAGATTGAACTTTAAGAAAGTCATCGAGCCAGGTTCAAGACTGATATCATTGAACGTCGGTTTTGTTAAAAGTAGAAAATTGTTCTGTTAGTCTTCAGGTGATGTGCCATCTTGACACTAACCTGCGATCAGGGTTTTTTCCCCTTTTGAAATACACGGAAGGCTTAACCTCAGGCTAACTTGACACAGTTAGAAACAACTGGACAAGGAGTAGATTTTCGGTTGGCGAAGTTAAAAATTTCTTTTACATTTTCTGGCTAAGCTCTTATGGAATAACTGGTCTCTTGATATAGGGGGTTATGGGGGGAGGGGAATACCAAAACGCTTCACCAAAGCTGCCTTGTTTCCTATGAATTAAAGCTTTTTTTGTTTTCTTGCCCGCGATATATTACAACCTGTAATTTTATTTTTGTTTATTTATTTATTTATTTACTTACTTATTTGTTTGTTTAATTTGTTTGCTCAATCTATCTTCCATTTAGTCACTCAGTTAATGAGAAATCTTACAGGAAAAACTAATTGTGTATTACTAAATTAATTCTTAAACCTCTTGAAATCTTAAAACTTTCTAAGGTTTCATTTCATTATGTCATTTATTTTTTTTAACTTTTCAATTGCTTGCGTCCTTCTTCGATGAAAAATTACACCGGGAGTTAAGTTAATGAATGTGTAAAAGGTGCGGTAACTAATGCTGTATGAGTCATTAAAGCGATTGACCTAGTAAATAAGTAAATAAAGGTGCAATTAGCGGCTAACACCGTCGTAACAACTATTCGCATTTTCATTTGGTCAAGCACAAAATACCGCAAATTTTGAAACGATCCTTGACTATTTCGCGGAGCGAAACAAACAGTCGCGAATTTCCTTGCACTTTCTATTCTTTCTGATCTAGTGGACAGAGTCATGATCGTGGTTAAGCGGTACTTAACAAAAAAAAGGCTGAGTTTAGTAATAACATAAATTGTTTGCTTTCCTTGTTATAATGTCTCTGTCAGATTCATCAAGTTTTTCCCATAAAGGTGTGGTAAAGTTTGTGCCAATTTTTCGCGAATCGTTCTTCAGTAGGGGAAATAAAAGTCGCGTACTGTAACAACAATACTCATTACACGTACATTTTTACCTACATATATTTTTAATTTTCAGTTTATTTTATGATACGTATAATTACGAACGTTATATCGCTCATTTTATGAAATATCAATTTTCAAAGTGCCTTTCTTGTTATACGAGTGACTAAGTTGTTATCCTGTTTAAGTCTCTGTTCGACTAAGAAATATATGATGCAAACAAGGGCTGCAGTTTAAATGATAGGAAATGGGGGCTGCGCAATTAAGACAGAAAGACGAGTCAATGTCCAAATGCACCTGTTATGGAGCCATGATGAATTCTAATTGAGGGCTTGATAGTATAACATTCTTCCTTCACTTTTTAGCCCTGTGTCCTCTAAACTGAACATTCAAAGAACAGGACTTAGTTTTTCGAGAAAAACGAGGCCAAAAAAGTCCGGCGTCGTTTGTTGAGAACAATGCAGGACACCCACGTACAATCCATTCATGTAAAACTGCTATATTTTAAACAATAGGTCAACAGGTAATGAAAACTTTTTGATTTATTGAACTTATGTTGAAATTGACGATATGATAATGTAATTAATCATTCGTAAATGATGTTCTGAGGAAGGAAACTTTGATTACCGAAACCGGAAAACAACAGGGAAAGTTATGAATGGTTGATCGAATCCAGAGGCAACCATTCATCAATCATTGTTTATATTGAACTTATATTAATTTAAACTTTACGATATAACCATATAATCAATTTCTTTTAAATGATATCCTCAGGAAGGAAACTGGAGGAAGAGGAAGGGGTTGATTTAATTTCTAAAACATGTCTCCTCGAACTCATTAAACAACTTAAGGAAGCCCTTGAGGAAACGGAAAATTGCTTTCAATTATGGGAGCTCTGGAAAAATATTATGTCGAAAATCGAAAGTTAAAAAGGGGTTCGTGTGAACAAAATGACATTTTGGACATGAAAAAATTTTGGACATGAAATTTTCAGAATTTTAACTGTGTTTTCTCAATTCTTTTGAAATTTGACATTCATTTTCTCGGGCTCCCATAAGAAATTTTCTTTGGTGTTATTACAGATAACTAATTACATCTACAGCGCTTGAAAAATGTAGAAATAATGCAATATTCTTTAAATTATTCTGGCACAAGGTTTTTGTCCATTAAAAATTAAAATTACTCAATTACCTGGTGGATTCCGTCTTAAAGCGTCAAGTGCTCCGTCATGTTAAATGCGAGTTTAAAGCGGTTGCTATAAGTCAGTCTTTGGATATTTTGGCCGGATATAACCAAACAACAAATTAGTACAAGCATGCATTTAACTGCGGAGTGTTTGTTTGTTTTTTCCTTTTGGGCGTTGTCGCCTTGGTTTCTCTCTGAGCTTCCTTAACAAGCTAACACCCCCATACTTAATTTTGTTCCGTTTACAGAGGAATTCCAGAGAGCTGTTTGCATCTCTACAGGTCAGACACTGGATCCATACGTGGTACACACTGTCTTTCAGCTGTTCGATAAAGATGGTGAGATATTTCATACTATGTGTGTGTGTGTTCTGCTCACAGGCAGGTCCTTCCTTAGTTGCCGATCTAAGGCGTACCTCTTGACAGCTACGTAAGCGTCGCCATCCCTCACTCTATCCAGCCTTCCCGCTCGAGGTCTTCCAAGTGGCCTCGTTCCTATTATTCTCTCCTCAATAACTAATTGGACAGGATCACCCTACGGGTATGAATAATAATAATAATAATAATAATAATAATAATAATAATAATAATAACTTTATTTGTATAGCGGTATGTACAAAAGCTCTATATCGATTTACAATCAAAAAAGAAAATAACTAACTAACAATAGCACTAAAACAAAAAGTCAATTGAAAGCGAGTCTAAAAAGATAAGTTTTCAATCTAGATTTAAAAACATCAACTGATCCACTTAATTTAATGTCTAAGGGAATATCATTCCAGTGCTTTGGGGCAGCGACCGAAAAGGCCCTGTCCCCATAGCTCTTCAGGCGCACATTCGGTACTTCTAATAAATGTTTGCTAGCTGACCTAAGATTTCTAGTAGGGTTATATGGGACTATAAGTTGGCTTAAATACGGAGGCGCCAGATTATTGAGAGCTTTAAAAGTTAACAGTAATACTTTAAAGGTACAAGCCAGACTCTCTGTCTTCTGTTGATAACAGGTATGATGGCTCTCTCCTCACCGACACATATTATACTAGATATACACTCTGGAAGAAATAGTGTACTAGTCCGGTTGTAGACTGCAAAACAGTCCGTATTTTTGCGTATTCAAGTAAGCGCGAACAGTCAAACAAAAGGTCTAGAACGAGGCTGAAAACGGAGAGTGAGAGTGGGGAAAAACGCTTCTCTCGCCTCCTGAGGCTCCTCGCGCGCTTCGCGCGTGTAAGACTCTTACGCCACGCTTTACCGATTTCTTTACTGATTTTGAGAAAAAAAAAACCGACTGTTTTTGCAGTCTAGTCCTGTTGTTGCAGAAACGAAACGTGTGTTGGTTAGCTGTTTTTTTACATTTGGTGATAAAACAGCATGATAAAGTATTCCTTATAATTATTTCAAGAAAGTTAAAAAAAAACGGGTCGCCCCATGTAAAAAATCAGAGACAGGTTCCGGATTCAGGATTCGAATCGTTACCTGAATTCTTCTAAATCTCCCCAGAAGTGTGTAATGAGATACGTAAGCAAAATGAAAGTTTCTACATTATTTGTTACCGTAAATATCAATCGTTTCTTCTACACCTTGATGTTATTGTTGTTCTTTGTTGCGCAAACTGTAAAGCGCCGCAGAACATTCTTGGCTCCAGCACGGAAGTCGTTTTTGCGGATGGAGTAAATGATCGGATTACAAAGTGTGCTGAAGGAGAAGATACAAGCAGTGACTAGTACCACGTCCGATGGAATATCCATACCTCCAGCAAATTGTCGGCAATTTCCCACTATCCATACAGGCAGGAAACACAACAGAAACGCCGCGATGATTATGCTGACATCAGTAGCCGCTTTCCGTTCTCTCACCCGCCTTGACATCTCTTGCTGCTGGCGTTTAGTGTCGCTAGAGTATTGTTGAATGTTTGAGGCGTTTATCTGACGTTTGGCCGTCTTGTAAACCGATTGATTTAACAATATAATGACTAGAAATGGTCCCACAAAGGTAGAGATGGAGAAGAACAGCATATTCCATCTACTCGAAGCACTTTGCTCTGACCACCCTTGTTCACAATAGAAGACCTCTGGGTTGTACACATACTTTCCCCAGTCGAGAAAAGGGCCGATGGAAAGCGGAATAGGAATTATCCAGATGAGAACTATAAGCGCCACTCGGTTACAAGTAACAACTCCACTGTAGGTTAAAGGCGACCTCACTATCGCTTGGTATCGATCATAAGATACCACTACCAGATGAAGGACTGTGTTAATGTGCAAGTAGCGAGAAAGGCATGGATTTAGGTAACACATTGTTTCACCAAACAGCCATCTTTCCTCTAAGATGCTTGCAGTGCGAAATGTGTTCACTAAAGCAAGCCACAGAAAGTCTGACACGGCAAGACTAGCGAGCAGAACATATCGCATGACGTGAAATCTTTTTTCCAGGACGATTGTTGCGATGAGCAGAAGATTACCTGGAAGTCCAGTGGATTCAAGAAGTGCTTGGAACGTTGCAACTACTTTAGAGATAGACATGACGGGTGAAGAACGTGTCGCTTCAAAAGTTGTTGTAACCTTTCCCTACTTGCAGCGAATCTGACCTCAAACGCCATTAACTAAAAACGTTTGTTTTGTTATTTCCCTCGATTCTAACATTTTCGAAGGAATACGCTTCCGATTAGTACAGAGACGATTGGAGTCCAAAGGAACATATTTCTTTGTAAAAATATAATTTCTTTTCTAGAATGATGTAACTTTATGTGTTTGCAATTCTGACATTAAATATCTTGTTTAGTTTCCTTTGAAGAACTGTCAATAACACAAAGAAGCAGGTGCCTTACGGATTATAATTCCGCTTTTTCACCAATTTTCTTTCCAGGCTTATCAGCGCTTATCCCGGCATTGTTGTAGCCTTTCTCCTTCATTACTGTTAAATTAGTACTCGGCCATTGCTCAATTGCTGTCAAAGCTGTTTAAGACAATTTCAGTTCCTTTGCGATAAATGTACATAAAAATCACTGAAATTAAAATAGTGTTTTTACTGTAGCTCTGCCATTAATTTTTCCCTGTAAAATTCTTTTCATATCTTGTTGTAATAATTAACTGATGGAACCTATTCCTTATAAGTTTCCCTGGGACTTCCTTGCCGTTAGCGTTTGAATATTTAGAACTTCTTGTTTTGAATATTTTTATAGCAAAACAATAAACTGAAACGGAAATTGCTTATTTTAATTTCTTGCTTTCAGCTTTTCCTGAAGTTAGCAGGGAAATCTGTTTATTATATGTGGTTGTGTTGCCCGAAAAAGGGAAGTGTAGCTCCGAGACCATCCAGGGCATGAAATAAAATACATAACGGCTCCTTCCCTGAAAAAGAAATAGAGGATATAACGTGGCCGCGCGGGGATACGAATTTTATCTTCGAGTGCTGAAAGTATTTCTCACGATTGAGCGAAGCGAACGAGTGAGAGATACTTTCACCAGCACGAGAAGAGAAAATTCGTATCCCCAAGCGGCCATGTAACGTTCTGTTTATTTTATAGATACTGATGAAATTCCTACATAAAACACAACTTTTTTTTATTCATTTTCGAAACAGCAAAATAGTGCAATTAAAGTGGTCACCTATCGCAAAATGCCTGTCACAAAATGTTCTGAAACTCGAATATGAAGGAGAAATAAAGACAATAATTGGCTAATCATGTTAGTAGCAATGGCGACACCAATATCCTCACACGTGAAAGATAAAAATAATATCTTCACCGCGCGCGATGAAGATATGATTTTTTAGTAAAAGGAAAAATCCTGGTATTTCATCAGTATCTATATAATAATTTGTGTTACCTTGTAGGTGATGGGAAACTGAGTTACGGAGAATTTATAGAGTTGATGAAAGACCGTGTTCATCGTGGATTTAGGGTAAGATTCTGGTTCGTTTATAGTCTTCATACGTATCGTTATCGACAATAGTTACTGAGGGATACAGGTTAGCTTTTTAAGTACCTTGTTGGTACTTAATTTCGCGCTTTTCGCAATTATAAAAAATAGCGATGTTAAACACCCGTGAATAAAAATCTTCGTGAAATTTAAGCAAGCGAAATTTAATACCCCATATAGAAAACTTAAGTAGCAGAAAAAAAAATAACTAACATGTAATGACAACAACATATAAAGGATATGTATCGAAAAATACATATAGTGTGCATAGATTTCCAGCTTACTTGAAAAGTACGTTTTTAAATATGCGCTTTGCTTGTTCCAGTTTATCTAGAACTAAAGCCTTTAGACTTTTTGCGGAACAAAAGGAAGTTCAAAACGCGTTAATCGCGTAATTTACTGCCTTTTTTTCATATTCGCCTACTGACATCACGAAAATAAAACCCCGTGAAATACTGTCTCGCCAAAATCGCGAAATTAAGGTGTTTCGATACAGTTTTTCAGACACCATACCGATATTTTTCAATCGCCTTAAAAGTGGTTTTTTCCTCGTCCGATCGCTATAAAATTTTCACCAGTAATTGGCTGTGGACTGAAATTTGTGAAAATGTAGTTTTAAGTAAAATTGATATTACTATGACAACAATAAACAAAAAACTTTGAAATTGATAAAAGCCGAATTTTGTGCGATCTAGACCAGCTACTGAAAATCCAGCACTAGGAACTTAAAGATCGGTGTTGAGCAAGCAATCTCCGTGAGAAGTAAAAAATCCTGTATGTTTGAATTCGAATAAAACGAAAATATATTTCAAGTCTTAAATTTTCAATAGGCGTGATAGATTATTTAATAAAAACATTATAAATGACTCAAATTATTCTTAACCCCTTAATCCCTAAGAGTGATAAGCATCAAATTTCTCCTTGTAATATCAATCTTTGTAAAACAGAGTGGTCATGAGAATTACGGACATGATCACACAAGATGAATTTCCTTGATATTTTATCAGCTCCTCCCCACTACTTCTGTAGGAAATGACGAGGGGCAACGTATGAGAATTCAAATTTTGATCTTAGGGTTTAAAGGGTTAAGTAGCGTCAGAATGCTGCTTAATTAATATCATATTTTGATGCTAGGAAATTTTGGTGTATTTTCGTTCTTGCGATCTTGAAAACCAACCCGTTTTCTCACCACATGTATAAGTGCAACTTGAATCAAAATTTGGACTTTAAGCGCCTTATTGAATATCTCTGAAACGACTTGAACGAATTTTTTTCAAATCTCCTCACATAATCTTCAAAATTTATATTATAAGGCCTGAAACTTTCATTGAGATTAATTCACTGCAAAATCTTAAAATTTCAAGGCAAACCTATCCTACGAACCTGTCAAAAATCTGCGTTACAACATTCAATGTTTTGACGTTATGCTAATTGTTCCAAAAGAATGCGCACTATACATACCTCCATGACTAGTAAATTTATAGTTTGAATTTATCGCATCTTTTGAATGTGAAACATTGACAATACTCACACTGAAATGTACTAGTCATGGATATATTTATGGTCCGCATTAATTTTGAAAAATTAGCATAACGTCAAAACAGTGAATGTTGCTACGCGGATTTTCGACAGGTTCGTAGGATATGTTCGTCTTGAAATTTCAAGGTGTTGCAGGCGTGCGGACGTGCGTAAGGTCACGTGACTACAAGTCACTACCAAAATTTCTCGGATGCATAGATAATAATAATGATAATAATAATAATAATGACTGTTTATTAAGACTCATTGCAGCAATATACAGAATGGCTGAATTACAGAGCTATTTACAAAACATATAGTACTAAAATATAATACAATAAATCCAATAAATACTAGAAATTATAATTGTACAAGCCACTAGGTATACTTATGCGTGATAAACTCTTGCGTGCTTAGTGCTACAGGTAGGACGCGTGGAGCGGCTAATGCCAGATCTAAGATTATAATTACGCACAACCTCCTCCTGTTTGGGGAGCGTAAAATGCAAGGGGTGATTCTCATTCCGGAGTCTATCAATATAAACCTGGCATAGATGGGCGCGTCTGTCACTTAGAGTTGTTAAATTAAGGGCATTTAATGCCTCGTTGTAATTCATTAAAGGAAAAATGATGCGCATAGCCCTTTTCTGAATGCTCTCAATCTTATAAGATAGAAAATCTGGTATATTTTGCCAGACAGGGGCAGCATATTCTAGAACAGGACGAACAATGGTTGTATAAACCTTAGCCAGTGAAGCTGGAGGTGCACCACATTGCTTAAGGACCCTTAAAGAGTAAAGCCTCCTGTTTCCCTTTTGCACTATGACTTCTACATGATGGTTCCATCTCAGGTCATTACTTACGTAAACACCTAGTAGCTTACGTGTCATGACTCTCTCAATTGTGTTACTACCAATTACAGTAGGATTCACAATAAAATTATGATTACTCATAAAATTAATTAGCATCTCCTTGCATTTAGTAGGGTTCAATTTCATTCTGTGATCTTCAGAAAAAGCATATAGATATCGTTTGTAACAAAATTGAGCAGACTGGCACTGTTTCTAGGGATTATTTCAAGGGCTGTGGTATCATCATCAAACTTTATTCTAAGGTTCCATGAGCGCAATAAATTATTTGTCATGATTGTAAACAAAATGACTCCTAACTTGGTGCCTTGTGGTATACCGCCCTTGGGAGTTTTCCACTCAGATATAATGTTCTCAATCCTCACAGCCTGAGTCCTGTTACACAGAAAAGCTGTTATCCAGTTAACTAGAACAGGGTGCACATGCATGTTCCTTAGCTCCTCAATCAGCACACTGTGGTCAATCATGTCAAAACCTTTAGAGTAGTCAGCAAAAAACAACCTAGCACCACAGCTCCCAAATTGTCTTACCCATGGTGCTCCGCTGCGCGCTACGCTGTAATAGAAAACTAAAAACGGTACGTCCAGTAAACACCTGGAAGAAATAACAAAGGCATTGTTGTTTCCTTAGTTTACTTAATTAATTGAGGCGAATGTTCCAACACATGATTAATTTTTCATCCGTGATGCTCACTTCGCTTTTCACAAACATGCGAACTCTAAAGTTAAAAAACCGCCTTCAAAATTGCGTTTTTCGTTTCATAATCACGATCACAAGCAACGAATCTTGAAACACAGAAACACGCAAAAGGGATCGTAATCCACCAATGAAAAATCACAATCCATCACCTTTTGAACCCGTTAAAGAAAAGTTTTGTTTTCTAAGAGGTCCGTTAAGATGATTGACGGCAGCGAAAAACGTAATCGTTAGTTGGCTTTTGAATTTCAGAATTCGCGTGTTTTTGAAAAAAACGCAGTAACAAACTTTTTCAAGTTGAATTTCTTGTGTTAGGAGCATTAGAATCGTTTTTTTTTTTTTGAGTGTAAAACCATAGATTTAGAGTTTGAACGCTTAAATTTTATGATTTTGATGTTGATGGTTAAATAGGAAACCCGCATGCGATTATGGAAGACTAATAAGGCTTAGAGTTGATTTCCAGTGTCGCGTAATTTTTACGTGCGTACGTGCGTAAAATTTACGTTCGCAAATAAAATAGAGGCAATGTATGGAAGGTCGCTCGTAAGCGTAAAAGTTGAACCTCGCTCAGCTTCTCGTTTATGCTCAGCACTTTTTATCTTGCCTCGATTTTATTTACGTGATTAAAATTTACGTGCGTCAACGTGCGTAGCCAAAAACGCGTCAGTGGATATCCGTGCAACCTAAAGGAAAGCTAGTTCAGACTCTGCGAAAGAGAAAAAAGCAGCTGAATTTACAGATTTCAAAAATCTTTCCTTATTAGTTGAATCAATCTGGATTTAAAATTCTATAACTTTAAAACCTTAACGGGCTCAAACATTCTAAGTAACGTACATTGTTTTAGCCGGCGTTTTTGTTAAGTTTATTGTCAACAAATATCTGGGTGTTGGCTGTAATCATATAAACCTGTTTCGTGTAAACAAGGAGATTTCCGAAATCTTGTGTATTGCTCAGTATTAAAGCTTATTGATAGGGTGTGTTAGCAAATAGCCATATTAAGGCTTTAGTCAACAAAAAATTACAGTCAAATCTCGACTTAGCGGCGTTATATTAAGAGGCCTCTCTCTATCTAGGAGCCAGTATGTCGACTCTAGAAATAATGCCACGACAAATATTCCGTTACCTCTGTTAAGCCTCAAGGAAACTTCTTGGTGTCTAGACTAGGATTCATTTTTTTACTTAATAGTGAGAATAGTAAGAAATCTATAACCTTAAGCTTAAGCGACTTTGATCTGGCGTTTTCTCTCCATTTGCATCGCTTTATTTTAGTTATTATTGATCTCTGCATTTGGTTTGATATTGATTTTTATAGTCTCCCTACTTGTTAATTTTAAGCAAAGCGCTCCATCAAATCACTTTTCGGCTTAGTGACAACGCGACTTGCTCCTTCGCGGAGATGGCTCTGTCTTCAATGTTAAGTACTAAATCAAAATCCAACACAAATGTTCTGATGAAGTCATTGAAAATCGTCCAATAGTGGACTGGTCTTGTTAAAAACCAGTTTACTAGAACAATAAAACTGTTAGGAGTGGTAAGAAAGTGGACTGGGGAATCTTAAGATAGTTGCGCCGACTTCGTCAAGCCTGAGAGCGCGGTTATTTGGGGAAAATCGCTCCAAACCCCATTGATTGGTTTAGAGAATGAATGAATAAACTGGTATTTTTCTCCCGTTGATCCAGTGCCCTTTTAGACGTCCGCTAATGCATCGTCATTATTTGAGCCTAATTAAACGAAAACGTGAGATTTCTCGTAACACTGCCCCTTTAACAGAGGCTACAGAAATTTAACTAAATTCTCCTGATCAGAGACATAGAAATACAAAACTTATTTACGTCAAGTCTCAATACGGACACATAAAAAGGTGCACATGAAGCTTGTAGTGACGGATCTACGAGAGAGACTCGGGGATCCGGGACCCCACCTTCTTTTTAAGCAAAAGTGAAGCCCACAGAGCCGAGGAAAATTGTTTTCGAAGACGATCCCCATCTTATCTTGGGGCCTGAATGAGCGGGCGCCACCACTTACTTGAAGATTTGAATCCTTCATTGGCTTGTTAGGGGGCTTAAGCAACGACGACGACGGCGACGGCAACGAGAACGGTAAAAAGCGGCGATAGGTTTAGTCTAGCAAAACAACAACTTTGCGCTTGCATCACGCGTTTTTTACATCTCTTTCCCGTCGTTGCACGACTGCCACAGAAAACTGTACTTGAACGCAAGACAACCAGCTTCTTTTTATATTCCTCAACTTAGAAACAGTCAGTCCTCCAGAAATATTGACAAATATGGAATAAAAGCGATGAAGTTTGAAAAAGCTCGAATTGAGTTTTTAAGTTCGTCGCCGTGGCCGTTGTGGTTGCTTAAACGCCTGGCTAATATCTTTGAGATTGAGACTAAGTGAAATGTCCGCGATACAGAGGCGAAAGCGTGTCAGAGAGTTGTTAGTAACGTAATAAGCCGTTCGAGTGTATGCTATGTGGTCAGAGCTTACAAAGACAGTCTTAAAGTAGCTCAAATTAATTTGTACTTCTTAAACATGGCCCCTCCAATCCACTTGTAAAATGTGCGAAAATCTTCTGGGGTGCTGGTTGTATAAAGCAACAGAAGATTCAGACGGACCTTTTACAACTGTTCCCTGTATTCCGAGGGATTTTCTTGCGCTCTCGTTTCGTTTCCTATATTCGTAAATACGCTTTCGGCCTAGTTATTCGTGATCGTACGAGAAAATCCTCCAGAGAAAAAGGAAATGGTTGCAGAAAATCCGCAAATCATCTTAAGCCGCTTCGAACGACCGGGTCTAGGCGACGTCTGAGGCGACGGTCGGAAGTCTTCGTTAACCTTCGGGCGTAATCTTTTCGTGGAAAGTCAGACCACTGACTCTGTCGTTATCACCAGACCGTTTCATGAGCACGTTTGCCACAGACTTGAATTGAATTAATAATTAGAGGACTATTTTTAAGCTTTTCTTTATGTAGTCTTTTTAAAAATACGTGCATTAAGTCTGAATCGTTGCGTTCAGTTCTGAGTGCATGTGTTCCGGGGTTGTACAGAAATTCCGGTTCGGTTCCTGTGAAGTTAAATTTTTGAAGTAAATCACGTAATTACGCAGTTCAACCACACAGAGGATACAATCCCAAGAAAAAAAGAAGCACTGACGCGGAACAGAACACAAAGGTTTTTTGGTGTGTTCTTCGTTTGTGGTTCGTAAATTAAGCTGAACGGAGAAAACGATGGGGGGGGGGGGGGGAGGGGAAAAAAACCCCCCAGTCTTTTCCCTCTTCTTCCCCTCCCCCATCGTTTTCATGTTTGGCCTTGATGACTGTGTCTGTTACTTTATGAATCAGAAAAGAAAAACACGCCAAAAAAACGTTTGCTACGCAGGCTAACATCCTGATTGAGCTTCGATTTTCAACGCAAAGGTATCACCAGTTGCTTGTCTCACAAATTTAACAAACAAGTGATGAGGACCCATTTTAGAAATCATCTTGGTAAATGCTGTTACAATGGTGATTTTTTAATGGATAATTTTGCCATTTGCCATACATTCGAACCTCTTTATAATGACCGTTTTGGAGAGATAGGGGTGTAACGTAACACCAGTTTTCTAGGAACGGGTACTTCATTTCTATTTTTAGAAAATGCCTACTGAAGCGTATTTAAAAAAAATAAACGTTCAAAACAAACATGATATCAAAATTAAATTTTGTGCATGGTTCGCTTTAAGCAACTGCCGTTTCAGTGCGGACGAAATTTAGTACCCGACGACTTAGTGACGAAGTGGTTGTTTAAACATGAGTGAATGTAAGGACTTGATACGGACTGTTCACCAGGCCAGAAACAAGTGACCTGTCCAAGAGGTTCTACTGTACATTGATGAACAGTTTAACTCACTCCCTGTCCATTGTGATTTTTCGTACTTCGCTGTGAAGTGCATTTATAATACGATGAAAAAAGGGCTCTTTACGATAAGAAACTGGCAAACGCACGCGCCTTGTTTACAGTTCTCTTCCGCTTGTGATAAATCTTAGCTTGCCCAAGGACAATTGCGAACAATCCAGTTGTTTTCTTTGCCTGAGTTTGTTATCTTAACCTAATTAAATAAATGACACCTTTTAGTTCCTTTGCAAAGTCTGCAAAGTGATATTAATTGGAAATTAAGGCAAAAACCAACGGAGCAACAGAGTTAAGTATCATTAAAAATAACTGAGTACTTTTTCCTTTTTTTCTATTTACCAGGGAGTGTTATTATAGCGTCAGGCAAGGTTTCCCGCGACCAAAATAGTTTGATGCTAAAAATAAAAAGTAATTACTTCCTAAGTTTGAACATTGCCAAAAATATACTATTATTTATAAATAGCTGGTTACGCCCATTTTGATTTATGTTAATTATAAGCGACGACCCGTTAAATGTTTTAGTACAAACAATCTTCATAAAGATTTGGTCGTATTTCCCACCAATTAAGCATTTTTTTTTAACACGGCTGAGTTTTAAAGTGTCTGTGTCGCGACAATCTTTCCTTGTTTCTTTGTGTTAACTATAAACTGGATTTTGAAAGTCCATTTCCTGTGCTCAAAATAGGCTTGAGCAACGAAGAAAAGACGAAAATTTATTTTCCAAGATAGCAGAAACTTTAAAGTACAGTGATGCTTCCACAGTGATACCGTCAAACCTGCAGACTTCGTTCTTTTAAGTTTCAGCACAGGTACCGCTTAAAGGTACCGCATGCTCACGTGTGAGAATCGTTGTTGCGTAACCAAGAAATATTATAATGGTTTGTATGGAGATGGATTTCAGCGATTGTTATTTAGGGGGTCAAAAATAGTAATAAAAATACATCAGAATTCCTTACCTTGTCTTCTTGTCTAAATTTATGGTGTTTTCTTAGCATTTTTAACGAACAACGGCAGAACTAAAACTCGCTGAAATCGCCCTGAAACGGCCAAAATGCTAACACCATAAATTTAGACAAGGAGACAAAGTAAAGAATTCTGATGTATTTTTATTACTATTTTTGACCCCCTAAATAACAATCTCTGAAATCTCCGTACAAACCATTATAATATTTCTTGGTTATGAAACAACGATTCTCACTCGTGAGTTTGGGGTACCTGTGGTTTCAGTCTATTTCATTCCTGTTAAAAGAAGTTGTTAAGTAGTCTACAAAAACTGTGTGGCTCTGTCGGTGAGGAAATGAAACACAAAAATGTGGGTTTATCCACAGGTTTTGTGTACTAAGGCAGAAACTTTAAGCAAGACAAGGCCACCATCATTGGGCTGAAACGGCTTCCGCAGGTGTTTAAAGTATTGTTAGTACTAATCTCTGCAATGCCTCTGTAATAGGCTAATAAACTAAATGTGGAAAGCATTCACCCTATCTAGATCCTCTTGCTCTGCGGGAAAATACATAAGAAACTTTAAAAATGTAGCGAAAAGATAAAAATGGCCTGAAGACTAGTCCACAGTGCGGCATAAGATCTTAGATCACTATCAGAAAATGGAAAGAATATCTTATTTATCTTTTGCACCTTTTTATTTTGTACTGGAAGCATACTTAACGCGAATGGGACTGGGCGCAAACAATTTCTCTGCATTGTGTCTAAACATGGTCTTGTAAAACCGTCGAGATTATTTTATTTTTTAAGACAAGCATCCAGCTATAACTAATACCTAGAGTTCTTTAGTCACTTTCTTTGACTCTCTTTGTGGCGGTCACCTAACTACTAAATGGACTAATAGTTTAAGTGAGTTTAGTGTAACAGGTTCAGATTTAAGGTTAAAAATCTTGAAAGTAAAACCTTTCGGTCCCCGGCTTTATTAGGGCGTCAGAAAAGCGTAGAAGTTCATATCTATCCTCTCTCAGTATAAATTGATTAGCGGTTTGGAATTTACTGACATGGATGATTTCATGGGCTTGTCTAATACGCTGTAAATACTTTTTGGCGCGGGTATCGTTTTAAGTAGATCCCATGTATTAGCTCGAGTGTTCTGCCGTGACCCTATAGCTGGTCCTCTGAAGACGTTGCTTAGGTTCTGTGACGACCTGGATTAACTCGAGTGCGAATTCTCGAATGGCTTAAATGTTCGCAAGAGCTAAGGGCCGAGGTAGATCAAACAATTCCTAAATAGTACACACAGTAATGACAGGTTTTCAGCGAAAACTCTCAATAAAAAAAGCCCATCTCATTTTCAAAATGACTGGTCCGGTCGACTAGGTCTGACTTGTGGTATGAGCCGTAAGTTTGGCATTGTAGGTTGCTAATTAAAAATGCTTTTTGTATATTTTCCATCACTCCGCCCTGATGAAGGCTGCATGAAGTCTTAGCCAAAACAGGTATTTTTAACCAAGTGAAAGTAACTTTTATTTTGTTTGGTCGTGAATCCACCTGGGTTGCAGTTTCATTGTTAAACATTTTTATAAGTGGAAAGCGAGAAACCTTTAGGGTCGGATATTTAAACGAAGTATAACTTAGACCGCGGTTTAGGAAATCTTTGGACTTCGAGATCTCGTCCACAGTGGATTATTTTAAGAAGCAAATGCTTTTCTAGTCTACGCCATATGATTTCATGAAACTGTTCACAATAAATAGTGTTTATATAAAAGCTTTCGGCAAACTGAAAATGGCTTAGAACGCGGTTTTGTTAAACACTGGCTAAACTCCGTTTAAATAACTGGCTCTTCATTTTTGTTTCAATTTCTGTGTCAGTAATTTTTTCTGTGAGGTGTGGTCGCGGGATTTGGCGCGACTCGCCTGTGCCCTGCCCAATGAATCTACAACACGCGCAATTTCTTGCAGTGTATCGTGATTGATAAGGGATTTCTGCAGCGCGTGCGGTTTTAGAAAAAAGTCAAACCGTGCCGACCTCGGCTTAGTCCTTAACACTCCTTAAGACCCTAATCTTGTACTTTATCCAGTTTGTATCTTTTCTGTGAACTTTCCGGCACGTCATAGGTCAAGTATTTCCCTTGCATGAAAAATCCAATTAACTCCTGTGAAATTTGAAATCGTGTTGTGTGGTATCTTACCCACATTAAAACGTGTCCTACAGAGCTTTACGTCCAGTTGTCATCAAACCAATTTGTACTTAACATGCCCACACTTGTTTGGGGATTGACCCAGACTGACCGGTAGTTTTCTGCGTATAAATGACAATCTCAAGTATTAAAACTTGTTTAGACTTAGCTTTCGACATTTCTTTTGGCATTAAAACCTGCAAGTGTCTCTTGAGGGAGGAACAAATGTGGCAATTGTACCATTATCACTTGGTTTTATCGTAGAAAAGATTGCGTAGTGTGAGGTAACAAGGTACAACCACGACTTAAATATGTTTCAGCCGGTGAGATATGAAGCAAAAGAATGTGCTCAATCCAGTTTTACTATCGAAAGTTGAGCCCGGTGTTTTTAAAGCATCGCATACACTAACATCAGTGAAGTCCTTTTGATGCGTGCATGGTATTAGCGAAAATTCCAAACATGTTTATCTCGAGTGTGCCACTTGTCTCTAGTTACTCTAGCCACTAATCCCTTTATTGTATCTATTTTGTACCTTTTGTGCGTCCCGGAGGGCAAGTCTTGTGTCAAGCGTTCAAGTGTCTTACCTCGCGTGAAGAGGAATCGTTTAGTGTTTGTACCTGATTTTACACGGGATTATTTCTTATCCAACCCTTCCAGGCGTAATGTTGAACTCCGAAGTGTCCTGATAAAACCCCTTACTCCAAGAACAAGTTACAGCGAGACAGATCTGTCACTCGAACTTTTAAATCTGTGGACAAAATCATATGGTGTTACGAATCAAATGAAACCTCTTGAGCAGTATTTTCACTTGGTACTATTTTTTAGTTTGTAGTTCTAACTTTTAAATCTGTTGACAAATTGCTATGGTGTTACCAATCAAATGAAACCTCTTCAGCAGTACTTTCACATGGTTCTATTTATCTAGTATGTAGTTCTAACTTTTGAGTCTGTAGATGAAATCCTATTGTGTTACCAATCAAATGAAACCTCTTCAGCAGTACTTTCACATGGTTCTATTTATTTAGTATGTAAAATCTGTGGACAAATTCCCATGGTGTTACCATCCAATTGAAACCTTTTTGGGGTCTTTTTGGCCGAAAATTTGCATAGTACTATTTATTTCTTACAATTTTACGATAAGCTATTAAAGTTGGGGTTTGTGAATTTTTCAAATGGCCTCTATAATGAGTAAAAAGGTTAAACTGGAAAGAATTGCTTAGAAGCCTATCTTTAATGATATCTGATTCCTCTGCCCCAGCCTGTAATGCAAGGTATTCCATTGTGGCCTGTTGCTCTCTTGGCATCCCCCGCGGGCGTGACTTGACATCTTGTTTAACTATCTCAAACAGTGGAAACTACAATTGGGGTTCCTTCCTTTGTTTGCTTACTTCCTCCAATGTTATCGCACGTGGCGTGTGACTAGTCGTAAAAATATCGACTGTCATTTCACTGTTAATGTTATGTTTACCACTTTTAACAGTCGCACCGAGGAGCAGCTTATGTAATATTGAGACAAATGCATTCTGTTACAGATAGAACTTAGAACCTAGAGCTGTACTGGGCAACATTGGTGACTATTTTGATCTTACTGTAAATACCTGCACTGCGTCTCTCGTGTCGGCTTAACGTGGCGTAATCCTCTTGTCTTAAGACTAATCTTTTATTGTACATGTATCTTTTTTGTTTTACTTCCGTTGTTGTGTCGTGTCAAGCATCCTGGCTGGCACAATATCAAAGCGATTCACCGTTTAGTTTCCGTAACTGCTTTTATAACATCGTGTTGTGTGGCTAGATACCACACAAGTAGTACTATTTCAACACTTAACTCTCTTGATATGCTTTTCTTGTTTTCAGGACTTTTCGTCAGAGAAAGGTCGTTGGGAAGAGTTCAAGCAGTGCGTCAAGAAAGAGATGTCTTTGTGAAAAACCAAGCCTCAAGAATATTTATTTGTTGAACTCATCGATGCGGTAGATGTTTGGCCAGGGGTGGAAACATGTAGATAAGTAAAACAGCGTGAACTTAAGCGTTACGTATTTCCGCTGAGGAAAATAACCTTTCGTGATCGATTGAGTGAAAATTGGGTTCGAAACATTCTTAACAACTACAAGAAAAATATACAGTGTTAATGTTATCCCTGTGTGGTGCCCACATTTTTTTCTGTATTCTTCTTCACATTACCTCAAGATCTTCGACATCTATCAGCACACTTAGCCTTTACATTACATATTAAGCCTTTATATTGCTGATTCACGAACGGTCTGAGGCTTAAGCTTTTATTTATTTATTTTTTTTTTCAACATCGAAGGTAGTTAAAGGAGCAACCAACACTATTTTCATTAAAATAGTGAAACATTGAGCGATAAGATACCATAGGAAGTATAGTTCACTATCCTGTATTTGAATATCAAGCTACAATCTTCACCACAACAGACGTTCAAACATTTGGAAAACACATAAACATCACCACAGGAAAGTATCAACCAGACGCTTCCTTTCAAATCATTCTAACCTCAGATTTCATCCAACAACAAGAACCAGTTTTGATGGCCTTTGAGCTGATAAAACCTCGTGAGTCAGCTCAAAGGGAGCCACATCGAACATTTGCGTCATAGGAAATAGTCAATAGCCGAATAAATTGATCTGTATAAGTAATCATCCACATTGGAACACCTTATACTATATTGAGTACTAAGTACTCAATAGCTTTTGTATGTTTATGGTGGCAATTTATGTTTTCGTTCGGTTGGACAGTTTTGGGGGAGAATATTCAATCACACTCCTTGCGACGTGCTCTATGCTGGATTAAAACGTTAAAATGAAGAGTCATTGACAGCGTATACAGATTTGGTGTCCTGCAGAGCTGGATGTTATGTTTTCAAGTGCTGACTGGACCACAAACCAGCTGGGTGACCTTCAATTAATACTTTGTGTCAATTGAAATCATCATTGACTGTCTTTACAATTGTAAACCTTCTCTGTTCGTCTTCGAATATTAGTACGCGCATCCCCCGGATGGTGAAGTCTCTGGTGTCTTTCCTCCTTTTTTGAAAGGGTCGGGGAAGTAGTTTGTCTTGGACCTTGAATTTCTTTCTTTTCCCTCCCCCGATGGGCAGGTGGGTGCTCAGCAACTTCAGAAAATTGGATCTTGATTCTAACGACGATGAGTTACGTAATCTCTGAGGAGTTTTTGTTAATCAAGCACCTAGCTAGAAAGATATGTGGTTTGTCGCCCCATGCCTGAATGATATTTGCGTGGGTCAAAAACCTCTTGTTTACAAGAGCTCTCACAAGAATAGTGGAACAAATCGAGAACATTGGTCCTTCTGTTCATGCGGAGAATTACGCGCGTGTTAAAAGCGTGGCCGTTTCCCTCTCTATTACAAGAATGTTACCAATGGAAACTTCTAATGAGTTCTTGAGGCTAAACGGCAATAAAGTGGACATTTCGTTGGATATTAACAAAAGCATGGACTTAAACTAGGTTGGCTAAGTAAAGATGTTGTAGTTTTATTTCATTTCCATCTTATAAGTTTAACAATTCTGAACCGTAGTCTATAAAGACTTTTAATTTACATCAATAAACAACGTTGGAAATGCAATATCGCTTGTTGCTTTATACCGGTATCCTCATACTTTTTGCTTACTAATGGTGAGTGAGATATAGTTTTCAAACAGTGAAACCATTGTACCAATTGCAACACAGGACTTTAAGAAGTCTTTCTGCTAAGATTTCTATTGTGTAGCTGTTGGCTATGTTGGTTCTCAGTTGTTAAATTTGGTGATTTCATATAAGAGATTTCTGTGGAATGAAAAACTCTTTCCGCTTACATTTAGTTAATTTCAACACTCTGATAATGATTTCCGCGCATTTGCTGCTCGCATACGACTGTACTTGTTACACTAATTGGTTCTTTTTTTACAGTAGCCCCCTGTTGCGTACAGTCGTTGACAAACGCACTCACTAACGAGAGAGCGATTACACGCGCATTAAGACATGTTACTAGCGCATGAAGCCGATGACATTTCATTCAGTGTACTAAAGAGAAAAAAATTGTCGTGTCAAAATTCACAGGAAAACGACTATTAATTAACGATTAGCAGCCATTAGAGATCTTTTGAGGAGGCGTGCTAATTACTTGTAAGTTAGTTGCCACTACGACCGAATGCGGAATTTTTTTGTTTTAGGGAATAACGTAACAAGTCTTACAAACTTTCTAAAAAGAGCAAAATTGTGATTGTGTTGCATTTGGTCAATGGGTGATCGCGTGTTTGCGGTTTACCAATGGAAGCAGTGTTTAGAATAAGACCACATTCGATGAACTGAACCGGTTGGATAAAAACCGCGCGGCAGTCCACAAACATACTTAGTGGACGGGTTTGCGTATCTTATCGATGTCTGCCTTGGGGTGTAGATTGTTCTAGATGACGTCATTTGGTTTAGTGGCAGGATGTTCAAGTGTTTGTGTTATGCGCGAAACGGATCCATTAATTAGAAATTGTTGCTTCACCACTTACAGGCTTCAGTGTGGAATTTATTTTGAGCGCTCTCAAGCAGGAAAACTTCACTCGAGAGAGCACTGCAGATTGCGTGTGGATTCATCCTCCGATCACCTCTGTAATCACCAACAAGACTTGTCTAAGCTCGCAGTTTAAAGCCGCTCAAAGCTCTTAATCAGTCAATTATTGTCTCGAGGTTACATATTGACATTCTTACGTGTTTTCAGTAGCTGAAACTGTGTCACTCACCTACCGCCACGGCAGCACTCCCTCGGCGCAGCCTGTGAATAATTGAGTTCTAACTGTCCCGCCTCCCCTGTTTAAAATAGTCCATTTTACCAAAACATCACGCAAGGCGCCTAAAAGGTCGAAAAGTCTGCGGTAATCAGGTTTCAGTCAGTCACTACTTAGTCATTCAGTCGCATTCCTAGGCTCTTCAACAAAGCCTTGGCTTCTGTTGACTAATGACTCACAGTGCTAAGAAGTAAAGTGGTCGGTGACACTGACGGTGGGCAAGTAATCGCCGCACTAATGTCAGTTTCTGTGGCAGTTCCTTTCTACACAGCCTCCTTGGCGTTGTTGCTAGCCTTTGCAATCCTCCGCTTTCTCTTCTGCACTCTGGTTTTTCGCAAACTGGTCGTGCGGCTCTTCGTCAAGTTCGCGGGAGCGGAGATCAGTCAAGAAGTGTACGGAGACAGCTTGTTCGGATGGGAGATGTACAAAGCAGTGACGACTGCCTTAATGATAGACATGAAGAAGAAGGCTAAGCGGGGCAAAGAAGCGCCCAATCCCTCCTTGATGTCAGCAGACGGACAATCGCGTTCTTATCTCTTAGACTTCGCAAGAGAAAGTAGGCCACTCGTTGTCAACTTTGGCAGTTGCACGTGCCCTGTTTTTATGGAGCGACTGCGCGAGTTTGAGAACATCATGGCAGAGTTTAGTGACGTCGCAGATTTTCTTGTCATATACATCTCCGAGGCACACCCCAAAGATGGATGGGCTTTTCAGGTAATGATCTCACAATTAGATCTACAAAATCTAAGTCTATCGTAGCCTCAAGTTGTACTTGACTGATCGCAGCGCTTTGCTCCCTTGATTTCCTAAATCATTCGCTGCACCCCAATATTCATTGCGCTCTAGCTTAAGGAACTTATTGGAACGCTCGCATAGGGCTACAAACCTACTTTGCAGTTGGATAGTACATTTGAATACCGTGAAATTGTACTGTATGGTCACTCGCGGGTACTAAGAAACTCAACGCTTATAAATATATCTGAATAATGATGAGCGAAGTTGAGCGTTAATGACGCGTGGATTATTTCTGTTTGTATAATTTAGACAGAGTTTGACGTCAAGCAACATCGCACGTTGGAGGAAAGGATCAGAGCGGCCCAACTGATGCTGAGCTCCTGCAATCTTCAGGCCCCAGTCCTGGTGGATTTCACTGACAACGAGGCGAATTTAGCTTATGGCGCGCTGCCAATTCGGCTCTGTATCATCTTAAATGGTCGAGTAGAGTTTACTGGTGGAATGGGACCGACATTTTACAATCCCGAGCAGGTTAGAAGATGGTTAAACAGATGGAAAGAAAGAGAAATCAAAGTGTAAAAGTGATTATCACCGCTGTATGAGGAAAATGATCCTTTTATTTATCGATCACCATACACAGAGTCATAGTACAAGAAACGGTGCAAGAAGACGTAACTAACTCTGTAGCGCACCGCGTCGCATACGCTTCAGTTTGTTCCTGTTCGCCATTGAACACTTTAAAACAAGAAATGATCGCAGGATCGCCATGTTTTAATAAAGACGTTAAGCCAGGAATTGATCTCTTCAAATATCGCTTACAAGACTTGTGGACCTCGTGGCTAATTCTTTTGCGGTCAAGTACATCAAAGGTGAAATGACACGAGGAAATCTTTCATTCGCCCCTGGCAATACCGAAGGGAACGCAAGTTTATAAACTTATTATGATACTGTTTTGTTCTAAGACTGGTTGTTAGTTTAATATTGAGGGGCTCATATCACAGCAGTATTCTAAACTTTATTGTTGAGGATCCTAGCCTAGTTCCAGCCGTGATGCGGAAACTTGCATGTCTTATTTAAAGTTTCCTAAAGCCTGCTCTCGTGTTATACTATACGCCTCCAGGTATTTAGTGACAAAAGTTCGATAGCAGTTATTTTTATCCAAGTGTCAGAGTTGCAGCATTAGTTTGTGTTTAAAAATAAAACAAAGAAAGTAAAAGAACTTTCATGGGAGTGATCTTAGTCTAACCTTTAGCGTAAACATAAAAATCTACATGAAATCTGATTACTATTTTTCTCTAGACAATAAAACCTCATAATTTTGGGTTATGTTACGGGACGAGAAGTTGACTATCTTCACTTAAAACCGGAAAGGCGTACGATGCTACAGAGGCAAATG